GACCCGAAAAAATCCAAATCCCTGCATTAAAATCCATCCCTGCAAAGGTGAAACAAATGATGACGAAGTAGTAAAAAAAGAGAATTTTGACGGCGGTCAAGTCAGTCACTAGCTCAGAAGGAGCGGTTATTCCAGCCGCAGGTATTTCGCGGTCGCTCATACACTGCGTATTACGGTAGAGCCCTAAACCGCAAGCTGACAGGTAAAAAGAAGAGGCCATTCGCTAAAGTAAAACTGCTGTCATGGAAAATTAAATGCATGTTCCTGACTGGTAGAAGATAAACAAACAATCCTACCAAAAACTTGCAAAATCAGCCGGATCAGAACTCTGCATCTCGACCTGTAGCCGCAGGAAAGGGTGTTCAGTTCTGCTGGACGCACCATGAGTGAGAGACTGCGCTAAAGACAGTGGATTTAATAATGTTCCTCCACAAACACACGTAGCCTAATCTTGGTGCGTAAAGGGTTTTTAAATTATAAATAAATATTAATTAAACCATATAATCATAATGTAGACAGAGTATACAGACTAATGGTGGCATTATTATTTTAATATTCAGCTTCACCGCCGCCTTAATGCCAGATTGTGAAGAGAAGTGGAGAAACACATCTTGCAGAGCCTTTATCTTAATTTCGTTATTGCCAAAATACCCGTCACCATTTAGAGTTTATTTTAATTTGATTTGTTAAGCAAGATTACTTTTCATTGGTGTGTAGGCTAATTTAAAGGCTAAGTGCATGTAGCCTACCTAGACCTATAGAGTGCTGAGATGTTACGATGTTACAGCTGTAGGACTTATTTTATTTCTTTGTTCCAACTTTCAAGTGGCCTATAGTCTACGCTTGTTACGAATAAATGATGTTAAAACATATAAATGACTCATTCTTGAAAAAAATGCATTAGAGCTGTGTGCATGAGCACATTTAATGTAGGCTGTGAACGGGTTTGGGCTGTATAAAGCTGTCAATCAAAATGTACCTGTCGGACTCGGGACCTATCGGGTATAACTGCTGTTCCGCGGGAGCCGGCCAGATTTCTTACGGGAGTAAATTTCTGAATAAATCGCGGGAGAGATGTGTGTGTGTGTGTGTGTGTGTAAAAGGGAGAGAGAGAGAGAGGGAGAGAGAGAGGTGCTGTGCGTCGCTTTGCGTCTCTCTCTCTCTCTCTCTCTCTCTCTCTCTCTCTCTCTCTCTCTCTCTCTCTCCGCGAGCCTAAGGTCGCATAGAATGTATTCAGTTTCTGAATGGTTTAGGCTTAAGCCAACAGTTTGGTGACGCTGTCTGAGCCTTACGTCATAATTTTTTTTTATTACGCCGGATACCGGGGTAAAATATGGAGGCGGTTTGACGGTATCAAAATTTGGATACCGCCCAAGCCTAGCCGATACCCAATCCAGCAAAAATATGCAAGTGGTGCTCGCTGCAGAGCCATTTGAGGAGAGCTGAGCTCCAGCGAGGGGGAGCTTAAGCTTGAGCTCCACCTTTTTTGCACTTCTTCTGCGAGTGATGTCACTGGGGGTAGGGTTAGGGGTGGGGTTGGTGTACGCATTAAAACAGCTTACAGGAGGAGGAGCGACAGCTCATGCTCCCCCTCGCTGGAGCTCAGCTCTCCTCAAATGGCTCTTTATCGAACCGATATCTGATCCAAATATCAGGATCGGTGCATCCCTATATACTAGTGACATTAAGGTAACTACCTGGTAATAAAATTAGAATTTAGAAAAACTATTCATATATTGTTTGCGTGTTGATTTTTCAGCTCACCCATTTGGAGCTGTCCCGACACGGTCACAGATATCCATAATGAGGCCCCAGTCCTCCACTGTGTTGGTTTCACTAGTTGCTTTCTCTGAAAATACAAATGAGCATTCAAATGAGACTCTTAACGCAAGGTCATTCTAGAACCATATCAAAAAAACTGATAAGTGTTTGACAAACGTCTAAACCAGCAGGAGGAAATGTCTTCTCATTTACCATAAATGCTGTTAACAAAACACTAAAAAACTAAAACTAATAAAAACCACAATTTTAAAAAGAAAATCTTTTAGTTTTAGTTATCAGTTTTGCATCCCTGAGTTCGAAGGATAGGTTTATTGAAAATAAGATATGCATACCGTTAAGCAGTGACAGCCTGTTTTGCCTGTTATTTTACATTTACAGCTTGTCACAACAGGCACAACAGTTTCTGTCATAATCCACCAGCAGAAATTATTTGCCCCCTCCTTTAAGAACAAAGCAACTGGGCACATTTTTATGACTAATTCTTACTCGTAACAACGACGTCTTGAATTGCAACATCTAGAAAAGTACATATTCATGAATAAATAAATAAAATGAACAATAATAATATGCCTTAATTTCCTCCATAAAGGAACATACAGTTTCACACGTTTATATAAACTGAATTCTAAAAGGACAAAGCTTTGAAAATAAAACCAAAGATCATGCTATTGTGTGCTGTTAGGTTCCACGCCTTTTGACAACTGAGCTCCTATTAATCTTCCACCCATTCATGCTTACAAGAAATAAAAAATATAAATAAATCAAATAAAACATAAAATAAAACGTTTTTTTTTTTAAATCAGAAACTTTTAAAACAGGACATTTTGATCATAAGTATCAGCATAGTAATACATTATTATTTGTTATAATTACATTGTTTTAATTACAGTTATTTGTTATTATTTTATACTAAATTATATGAAACAATATTTTAATATAACATACAGAATAAATACCTGAATCTTAAGCTTACTAGAAATTAAAAATAAATATAAATAAATAAAATAAAACATAAAATAAAAACGTTTTTTAATTAAAAATGAACGTTTTGATCTTAAAATCAGCATGAATTATTATTAAAAATACACAATTATGTTTTATTATATTATTTTTAACTAGATTAATTTATTATTTTACACTAAATAATAATAAATAATATTATCGTAAACATCCAGAATAATAAAATCAAAGCATATAAAGAAAGTATTATTACAACTATTATTATTATTAAATTATTAAATATTAATAAATTATTATTATTAAATTATTATTACTTTTTTATATGACTTATTGGAGCATTAAAGAATTTTCATATTTCGTACTGAAGACCCTGCCACAAAAATATATATTTAAAAAATATTTTTGTCAGTAATCAAGCAATAAAATAAATTTAAAAACAATTTCAATATAATTTGAATCAAGGAGACATCCAAAAACAAAAAAACTTATGGTTTTGGTGTAGTTGTTTAAGGTTCCCTGTTTGGGCTTTTACTAACTTTACTTCATTGCCGTAGACTTCTATCAGTATGTTTTCGAATATCTTAATCTATTTGTTTATTACTATTCTTTTAATTATTTACTTTGAGCTGGCCTAATAGTAATAATAATTATAATATAATATATATATATATATATATATATATATATATATATATATATATATATATATATATATATATATATATACGTGTGTGTGTGTGTGTGTGTGTGTGTGTGTGTATTAAAATAAGCTTCTCCTGCTCACTAAGGCTGCCTTTATTTTTTGCCTTTATTACAGGACAAACTGTACAATTGTAAAATGGTATTGCACTATAAAATAACTGTTCAAAAGTACTTTATAATTTAATTTATTCATTAATTCCAGTGATTTTAAAGATGCTTTTTCAGCTTCATTACTTCAGAGTCACATGAGAAATCTCTCTAATATTAATTATTATGATTATTATTTTTTTATAATTAATGAAAAAAGTAATAAAAGCATTAATGAACGGAGTAATAATTTCATTTGAAACTACATACAATATTAACTAAAAAAATGAAGAATTTAATAAAAACTGACCTCAAACACTTGACCGGTACATATATATATGTGTGTGTGTGTGTGTGTATATATTTATAATTATCATTTGTTTTAGTATGTCTTTGTCGTTTATTCTTCAGTTTTTTATTCTTATTGTCACTATTATTGTTGTTGCCCTTATTACAAATATTAATATTATTCAAAAACCTGTATTCCTATATTTTGATTATTAAATGTATTTTCTTATGCACACTGCTATGCTGTCATCTACGTCATGTTTATTGTGTTGACATAATTCAAAATAAAAGAAATTTTGATGGAAAAAAGAATAATTTCAGCATTTAGTGTTCATCTAAAAAGTTCTTGAAATTCAAAACAACATCCCAAAGACACTGTCAGTTATCTATTTTACATTTGACAGCTTTAATAGTTAGATTTTGATAAATAAGTTATGAATGACCGATAAACAAAACAATAACAGAGCTCTTGAGGATCTTGCAGTGAACGGAGCGCTGCTGGATCGGCCCTTAGTTACTGACTTGTCAAGACCACATCACTTCGACAAAAACAACACTGCCAAACTCACCCACATCCTGATCGAACGGGTTTTGACCAAACAACGGCATTTTGTAACCTTTTCCTATGTGTCAAAGAAAAAAACTGAAGCGTATTATCTACGTAGATCGACGATTTATCCTTCTCTCATCCATTAAATTGCGTTCACTTCCACCAGTTGCTCTTCCGTAAACTTAGTAGACGAGCGCAATGCCTGCCAGAAAATACATCCAGGAAACTGTCAACATATTCTACATTTAAAGCAGCATGTTCACAAATTATATTAATACTCAAAATTTAACCAGTAAATTATTATACTTGTGCATATTTAAAAATATATATGTTTATATTTCAGACAGGCGCATAGGTTGAGTCAGAAGTGCGCTCTGACTTCAAGACTCGCACTGCCATCTAGCGGCTAGTTTAGATGTTTCTAGAACATCATAATTCACTTTAAATAATCTCAATATATTCACATACATTACTGTAATCATATTATTTTAGTTGTATTTGATGTAAATGCTTGCGAAAAAGACGACGCTAGTCTGTAACTGAAAAAACAAAGCATTGTTTACACTCTGTCCTCACCAGAGGGCGCTGGATTCATAAGCAGCTTTTTTACATGTCAGCAAGGCCACACGCCTTTATCCACCGGGACCATTGGATGATCCAGTCTTTCTAATGATAGTTCAGTCATGTCGGCACCTGCCATGGGGACCAGCAAAACAGCGCACAGTGAGTCCGGTCACAAGAAGAAAAAGGGCCCCGGAACACTGGCCACAGCATATCTGGTCATTTACAACGTGATTATGACAGCAGGGTATGGTGGAAATCAAATGCGCTTCCGTGCTTCTCTCTTCAAGCGTGTGTGTGTGTGTGTGTGTGTGTGACAGCAGAAATGAATGGTTGGATTTCTTCAGCCTGTATGACAGAATCGCGGTCACCTCCCCCATTGAGTCTATATTGTATTATTTAACACTGTTTAATTTGAAAGCTGAAACATTTCAACAAAGTTATTCTGCACATGTCTGCTGTGCAATCCAAATGCGGTGTAACGTAAAGCCTATTATCGCTTATTTAACTCGCCGTAGGGTTGGTGATGGGTGACAGCGAGCATTGGTTGTTGTTGCATGAATGCATTGTTCTTGTTTTACAGTCGCTGGTTTGTTTGGGCAGCGTTGTAACAGGGCTTGTAGTGAATTTAGTGTCTTTGTTAGTTTGAATGTAGCCTTGTATAGTTTGTAGACATTAGACTAGGCAGTGAATTAAGCGCACCTTAGACCTAGTAACCCAGAAACTGTTGCACAATAATGTCCGTTTCAGGAACTAATCGATTCGATTCGAGACAGCCGATTCGTTTCTAAATCACTCATCGTTGTTTTTTACATGAGCATATGTAATGTAAAGCTTATTTAGCAAATTCATGGCGAATGTGAAGCATTGGATATACTTTGTGACTATACTTTGCCTTAAATAAAAAAAAAAAAATAATGGATTTCTATTAATAAAATTATCCAAATCATTTGTTAAAATCACTTCTTTTAGTTTTTATTTGACCAGATTCTGTTGCATTATAATGATTTTATACAGCCGATTTATTTCTAAATCACTCATGTTTCTTTGACATGAGCATAATGTAAATATTGATAAACCTTACATTTTGAGCACTTTTATTGCGAATGTGAAGCATAAAACCTACTTCCTGAGTATGTTTTGCCTTAAATAAATCGAAAAAACATAATTAATTTTAATAAAATTATCCAAATTATTTATTAAAATCACTTTTTTTTTTTTTTTAGTTTTTTTTAGTTTTTTTTTGACCAGAAACTGTTGCATAATAATGTCCAATTCGGCAACTTTTCAATTCAATACAGTCGATTTGTTTCTAAATCCCTTATCTGGTTTTTTGACATGAGCATAATGTAAATGTTGATAAATCTTACATATTGAGCACATTTATGTTGAATGTGAAGCATAAAACATACTTCCTGAGTATACTTTGCCTTAAAATAATCAATACATCTGGATTTCTATTAAAGAAAGTATCAAAACAATTAGTTAAAATCACTTCTTTTAGTTTTAATTTTTCGTCAGTGTTCTAGAGAAAAATTCTTATACAATGGAACTGTATAACTGTATATTAAAGGATTATATATATATATATATATATATATATATATATATATATATATATATATATATATATATATATATATATATATATATACATATGAGCAATTGCAGCGTTATGGATGTGACATTTGCAGTAAAAACACAAAACATAAATTCACATAGAAAGTGTTTGTTAAGATTATATTGAAACATGCTTATATTTTCCAGAGCAACTCACCATATTTTGTATGAGGAAAATAAACATACATTATGGATGCGACCAAAAAAAGTCTGCGAGTTTACAGTCTACAACATACTTTGTAGAAATTCTATGAACTAAACTACACAACCCCCAAACATTTTTCGATTTGATTTTATTTAAAATTTTTGCATTTATGAGGAAAAAGCTTTGTTATGGATGTGACAGATGTGTAATTGCCACTTGTGTGACTTTGGCAAATCAAATATAATAGTTTGAAAACAACGACAGATGCATTTTTGAGTATTTTTAAAGCACTGTAAAGTATTGGTTACAAAACTTGAAAATGGGTTTCGTATTTTAGTGAAAACTAAATTTTTTTATGGCAAGGTACATTTGCATAGAATTGCTCTTATATTTGTTTGTTTAGTTTCAATTGCAGTTTTTTCACTTCAGAAATGCAACTTGTAATTTTAAGAAAATCTTATAATTTGGAGGATAAATGTTAGTATTGTAAGTAGATAATTTCTAGAAAGCGTATAAATGTACAACTTCAAGAAAGTTAAGCTTCTTATTTTGACGCTTTGTTCAAATACTGTGAGATGCAAACTAATTTCTTACTATAAATGTATGTCATGCAAGATATTAAGTTAATAATATAATTCAGAATTGTTTGATAAAAGTCACAATTATTTACATTTTTTAAAATGCCATTATGAAAACTGGCTTTCACATTGTGCTCTAGAGCAAATTTAATGTTGAATTGTTCTTCTGCAGTAGTTCTTTTTAAGCAATTGAAATTAACCGAATCATTTGGAAATGGCTCAACTGTAATAGAGAAACTTGTTTTAACTGGTTTACTGAAAATAAACTGATTCACTTAGATGGATTGAACTTTCCAATGCAGTTTAGCAGAACTAACCAAACCAGGTTTGCTACATTCTCATGTTGTCTATTGTAATCCAAAAGGCAGTCAAAAATGGTCACCAGTTCATGCTATCTAATTAACTCTAGTATATGAACTATACCATGATAATACCTATTATTATCTAAACACTGATGTACTGTTTGTTGTTATACTCTAAACCTGACTTTGAAATACTAAACCTGTTTATGTTTTTATCGTATGATGTGCTCTTGCTAGTATTATGATTTAGAATTTTATATGTCTTCATCATTTTATGTCAATTAGATCTAGTGTACAGTCAGAAGAGAAATGTATAAATCTTTTATTCACAATGTCTAGTGTGTACAGAATGTGCTGGATGTATTTAAATGACACTGTTGCTTGCCACTGCTGGCCGTTAGCTGCTCTGCTTGAGATTTGCATGCAGTTCAGTGTTTGTATGCATTGCGGAAATGCCCTTCTCAAAGCAAGGGCAAGTGGCACTACAGATTTATTCTGAGTTTTTTTTCTTATTTAGGTGGCTGGTGATCGCTGTTGGTCTTGTTCGAGCATACCTCGCCAGAGGAAGTTATCATGGGCTTTATTACTCCATAGAGAAGCCCCTGAAATTCTTTCAGACCGGTGCACTGCTTGAGGTGAGTGAGCTGCAGATATTCAATTCAGCATATGTTTTTTAAAATAATGTGATAAGTCTTTTAAAAAATAACTAATAAAAATGTTATAAATTTAGCAGTGCTGGGCAAATATGAATCACAGTTAATCGCATCCAAAATAAAAGTTTGATTTGGCAATAATTATACACCACACACACACACATACAGTTAAAGTCAGAATTATTACCCCCCCTGAATTATTAAACCGCTTGTTTATTTTTATCCCCAATTCCTGTTTAATGGAGAGCAGATTTTTTTAACACATTTCTAAACATAATACTTTTAATAACTCATTTCTAATAACTGATTCATTTTATCTTTGCCATGATGACAGTAAATAATATTTGACTAGATATTTTTCAAGACACTTCTATACAGCTTAACGTGATTTTTAAAGGCTTAACTAGGTTAATTAGGTTAACTAGGCAGGTTAGGGTAATTAGGCAAATTATTGTATAATGTTGGTTTGTTCTGCAGATTATCGAGAAAAAAAATTAGCTTAAAGGGGCTAATCATTTTGTCCCTAAAATGGTGTTTAAAAAATTCAAAACTGCTTTTATTCTTGCCGAAATAAAACAAGTAAAACTTTCCCCCGAAGAAAAAATGTTATCAGACATACTGTGAACATTTCCTTGCTTAGTTAAACATCATTTAAAAAATATTTTAAAAAGAAGAAAGAAATTTAAAGGGGGCTAATAATTCTGACTTCAACTGTATATTATGTATATATTAGGGCTGCACAGTATATAGTTTGAGCATCGATATCGCAATGTGTGCATCTGCAATAGTCACATCACACAACATGCAATGTTGAGTCAGGATTATAAATGAGCAAAAACCCCTGGTAAAACACACTAGATTTGTTGAGTCTCTGCAGAATTGAACCATAATAGTGTGAAAGTTTACCATCTGTGTGTGTTTTAGGGCCTGTGATTGTGAGCATTTAAAGAGAGTTTAAAGCGTACTTTTAGTTGTGCATTAAAAAGTTTAATAAAAATTGATTTTATTGAATTATTTATATGATGAAGTCTGTCCAGTGTTATTTTACATTTCATAATTCAATTTCTGTATCTGAAAGCTGAGATGCCATAAAGTGCTGTGTTTATGACTGTAGTTTGTTTATTATATGTATATAATAAAATACCTAAATATATATATTTATATTTTACTCCCCTACAGAATCATACCAATTCATCTAAAGTAATGACTTGGCAAATAGAACTATTTAAGTCATCTGGTGAAACTGTATTTATTTGGCAATATATTTATAGCACAGGAAAAAAAAAATCGCAATCTCAATTTTTCTAATATCGTGCAGCCCTAGTATATACAGTTGAATTCAGAATTATTTGCCCCCCTGTTTAATTTTTTCTCCCATTTTCTGTTTAACGGAGAGAAGATTTTTTTAAAACACAATTCTAAACAAAAGTTTTAATAACTCATCTCTAATAACTGATTTATTTTTTCTTTGCCATGATAACAGTAACTAATATTTGATATATTTTCGGTATGAAATCCAAATGTTTACATTCATATAATTATTAATCACCTGTTTTTAGATGGTCTGTGTCTAAAAGTGAGGGTGATGTATCCCCCCATCCCCCCGGTTGCTACGCCCCTGCCTATACACAATAAACATATATAATACACACACACATATATTATGTCAAACTTATATTTTGGATGCGATTAAAAGTGATTAATCTTTGCCCAGCACAAAAAAATATGTAAATATAAAAAGTATTAAATATGATAATAAATTACAATGGGCAAAATGGTGGTGCAGATGCTAGCACAATCGGCTGACAGCAAGAAGGTGGCTCATTTGAGCCCTGACTGGGTCAGTTGGCATTTCTGTGGGGAGTATGCATGTTCTCCCCGTTTTTGCACGTGTGCTCTGGTTTCCGCAAGTCCAAAAACATCGGTAAGCTAAATTGTCTGCAGTGTATCTTTGTGAATGAGTGTGTATGGTTGTTTTTTGTGATGGGTTGCAGCTGGAAAGGCATCCGCTGTGTCAAACATATGCTGAATAAGTTCGTGGTTCATTCCGCTGTGGCGACCTCTGATAAATAACGGGACTAAGCCGAAGGAAAATGAATGAATTAATAAATTACAATTGTAAATGTATTCATAAAGAACTTTTCTTATAATAATAATAATAATAATAATAATAATATTAATAATAGTATAATAAAAAAGTAATTAATAATAATAATAATTACTAATAGTAATTACAAATGGTAAATAATAAAAAGTACTATTTTGTCACTGCAAAAAATGACTGCTGATGTTCAGCTTTTTCATCACAAGAATAAATGACACTTTAAAATAATAACAGTTATTTTTAGCTGTAGTATTATTTTTATTTTTTGGATTTCTAATTAAATAAATGGTACATATATAATAATAAATCATACCAAGCATGGCATGTTCAAAAATCTTAACAACTTAGTTTGTTACAGAACTACCAATGGTAGAATAAAAATACTTTTATTTTTTATTATTACATTTTTTCTGTGCTCAGTCTAATTCCAAATATAAATCTGTAAATTGTCTTATTGCACAAATATTTGATTCACCCTAGAGGGTTGTTAAATTAGATTATTTATTTGCTAAAAATGATCATTCCTTGAGGGGTAGTACACTTTATAATGTTTGTTCTTTTCTTTCTTCACAGATATTGCATTGTGCCGTGGGTAAGTGCACCAGTTGCTATATCAGTATCTTATTAAGTTTGACTATAAATATGCTCTCGGTGAAGTATATAGATCAGCTTGTCTATACAAGGGAAGCTTTTTTTAACCCGGCAGTGCCACCGTCAGTGAGGCTGCTGCTTTCTCTGCCAGTCTGACAGTAATAATGTGATAAAGAGTTTCACTGCACCCGTGGAGCGCAGGGTTCACAGTCCACACCTCATTATCTGGGACTTAAAGCTTAATGTGACCTTTCCCTGTGCAAACAACCAATCCTGCAGCACCCTCTGTTATATCGCAACCACCCCTACAGTATATGTCTAAAGGATTTTATTATATTCATTCATTTGTGTCTTTTTATCTCTTAATATGTAATATAATGCATTTTTTATTTCTCATTTTCTCTGTGCATAATTGCTCTGAATAGATGTACATGTTATGGATTTTATGATTTTGACTTTACCTAACATTTGACGTTTTGTGTAGGAATCGTTCCCTCTTCTGTGGTCCTGACTGGATTCCAGGTGATGTCACGGGTGTTTCTTACTTGGGCAGTGACACACAGTGTTAGAGAAGTAAGTTTGTGTTTAACTTAAAGGTTTTATACGAGTTATTTTAGCTATTTATGTATTTCTATAGTATTTAGTATTTTAAAGTTTCAGTCATTTTTAAAAATGTTAAAATTATATTTATATTTTAAATGCATATAATTATTAATTATTTAATATTTATTTAATTTATCTATTTATTTATTAGTAATTAGTTAATTAAATCATTTATTTATTTGTATTTTTGTGTATTAGTATTTTGATCAGGTTTTGTAGTAGTATTTGAGATTTTCTTTAGCTTTAAACTTTATTTTATTTCTTTATATTTATTTAAGCTGTTTAGTAAGATTTATCACCCAAAAATTGAAATGTACTCATAATTCAGGCCATCCAATATGTGGGTGACTTTTTTTCATTAAATATTTTTAGCTGAGAATTTGGTCTTTTGTGATACATAAACTGCCATTAACTGGTATTAAATTTGTTTTGCCAAAAATATATAGAGATATATAGAGTTAGAGGTTGAGAATATATAGAGTTGTTTTAGAGTTATTTATGTTTTTATAGTATTTAGTATTTTAAAGCTTCAATAATTTTTAAAAATGTGAAAATTATATTTCAAATGCATATATTTATTTTTGAATTAATTTATGTATATATTTATTTATCTAGTTATTTATTTATTGAAAATTAATTAATTAATTTATTTATTTAAAAGTATTTAGTAGTATTTAAGATTTTCTTCAGCTCTAAACATTATTTTATTTCTTTATATTTAAACAATTTTATTATTTAAGGTTTTAAAAATTATTGATCACCCAAAAATTTAAATGTACTCAAAATTTAGGCCATCCAATATGTGGGTGACTTTTAAATTTTTTTCGCTTTTAAAGATTTTTTAGCTAAAAATTTGGTCTTTTGTGATTCATAAATTGCAAGCTACTGGTATTAATTTTGTTTTGCCAAACATATCTAGAAAGATGTAGAGGTAGAGAATATATAGCATTAGCATATAGCATAGAGTTATTCATGTTTTTTATAGTAATAGTATTTTAAAGCTTCAGTAATTTTCAAGAAAATGTAAAAAATTATATTTCAAGTGCATGAATTTATTTATTTATTTATTTATTTGTATTTTTTTGTATTAGTATTTTGATTTAGTTTTTAGTAGTATTTAATATTTTGTTCAGTTTTAACTTTATTTTATTTCTTTATTTTATTTAAGGTTTTCAATAAGATGTAAATAAATGTACTCATAATTCCGGCCATCCAATATGTGGGTGACTTTAAAAAATATTTTCATTTAAGATTTTAAGCTAAAATTGGGTTCTTTTTGATTCATAAACTGCAAGTTAACAGCTACTGGTATTCATTTTGTTTTGACAAAAATATATAGAGGTTTGTAGATGTAGAGAATATATAGAGAATATATGCTCTAGTTATTTGTTTATTTTTATTGTATTTAGTATTTTTAAAACTTTTATTTTACTAGTATTTTAAAACACTTTGTATTTCAAATGCATTTATTTATTTGTTTGTTTGTTTGTATTAGTATTTAGAACTAGTGTTGAGTAGTATTTAATACTTGATTCAGATTTATTATTTTATTTACTTATTTTTATTTAAGGTTTTTAAAAAGACAGGTGACACCAAAATCTAAATTAGCTCTTAATTCAGACCATTAAATATTTGGGTGACTTTTAAAAAACATTTCATTAAAGAAGATTTTTAGCTGAAACCTTGGTCCTTTGTGGTGCATACACTGCAAGTCAACAGCTACTTTTTATTTTTTATTTTTTTGCCTGTAGCAGTTTACTTGTATTTTATGAATCACCAAGGACTAGGTTTGACTTAAAAATCTTTTTAAATGTTCTTACCAAAGAAACAAAATCAGCTATATCTTGGTTGTCATAAATAAACGAACCACAAATTGGCTTGTTGGATGCACTAAATTTCAATTATTAAGCATGTATTTTATTTTACACTTATTTCGTTAACATATTTTTTTACAAATAGTTTTCAGTTTCAGTAAAACAACTTGTGAAATAGTTCAGATGAACTTTTTATGATCATGTCATGATGTTAAGGAATCTAATAATAATTATCATGGTTATTATCATGCCAAAAATACCTCAAACTAATCTTGATCATTAACATCCCTGTTCTAAGATGAGCAATCTAATTTGTCTTATTAGCTCTAGTTCACTGCCATCTTGTGGCTCTAGCAAATTTCAACAGGAGATATAAATTGTACAGTGGTCAACAGTGTTATTTATTGCAATCACTTTTTGCAAACTTCTTTGAAACTAAGAATCAAGTTTTTATTGTCTATCCCAGAGGAAGAAGTCTGAGCTGAAGTGTATAGCTCTGTAAGTTATTTCTACAAGAAACCTGCCTGAATCCAAACTGGAGAGTAATACTAATATACAAAGTGTCCGTGTGTGCCTGTGTATGTTTCTGTTGCTAAAACAACCAAACTACTTTTTAAGCCTGTACATGTGTAGAGGTAATACCGAAACCAGTTTTTTTTTTTTTTTTTTTTTTTTGCTGGGCCTTAATGCATTTTAAAGTGCTTCCGTTGCCGATGCTCTCAGTTGTCCATCTTTGTGTGCCGAGTGGCTTCAGTGAATGGTGATTAAACAATAGCAGACATAACCGCATGGTCCTCTACTACATTTTCTGGCATGCACAGGAGCTCTATGTAGTCTCTGGGTGACTTAAATCTCTCATTTCAGGTCCAGAGTGAAGACAGTGTTCTCCTCTTTGTGGTGGCCTGGACAGTCACTGAGATCATCCGATACTCTTTCTACACCTTCAGCCTGCTCAACCACCTGCCTTACCTTATCAAATGGGCAAGGTGACTGGCTTTTTTGACTAACATTCACATTTATTCATTCATTCAAAGCAAATTAGGAAAAAAGGACAAGGGCAAGTCAATTAACAGAAACGGACAGTGTGTTTTAATATGCTTTAATTTTTTCACAGGTACACATTTTTTATTGTGCTGTACCCGATGGGAGTGATGGGGGAACTTTTAACAATCTACGCCGCACTGCCATATGTGCAGAAAGCAGGGCTTTACTCCATCACCTTGCCTAACAAGTACAACTTCTCATTCGACTACCACACGTTCCTCATCTTCGTCATGATCTCCTACATACCCTGTACGTATTAACTTGTGCACTAAGACATCACGGGCCAGATTTATTGAAAAAGGGCAATGTAGTGCGAGGTAACGATGCGAGAATTTAAACTCAGAAACGTGTCATTGGCGACACCAGTGGACATTGAGTGAATTGCAGCAAGTGTCTTTGTTTGGAAATTGCGCTTGTACACTCATCACTTACTTTGTTTGATGACCTGATACTGATAACAAATGTTCATAGAGCATCCACGCTTCTCAAAATGAAGTTTAGATGTGTGTACAGTAGCAGAGAGAGCACAAACGTGCTGTAAGTTAAAAAAATACATGCAAATATAGAAAAACATTTACTAACATCTCATAGTTTTTTTTGACAACACATGCATGCGTAAATGAGCTACATCGCATGAGTAGCAGTGTGATGTGGCTGTATATCAGCACTGGAGGGAGGCGTGCGTTGACACTAGGCTGTGGGCTAAGTGCCTTGGTGTCCCACCAGTGACGATATACAGCCGTATCGCACTGCTACGAGTGTGATATTGTGTTTATACAACAGTTTGATGGCATAATCGTGTATATAATAAAAGAAATTCAAACACAACAGTCTAAAAACTCTTGTGTATGAGGAACTACTTTCTTCTACCATTCATTTACATCAGCAGCTGACGTCAGAACAGCAGAAACCATTGCTACTTTAAAAACTTAACTTTAGACCTAGCCTTTGAATGATTCTCTAGCGTAATATCTAAAGTGATGACAAAACAGGTGATTTTGCAGACATTTTAAGATTATAAGGCTGAATGGCATAAAAAGCCATCAGTCAACAGAGATTTGCCTGTATTTCTCTGTTGCAGTCGGGAGATCACAATAATTAATCCCGAAAAATCCAAAGCAGTGCCATCACTACAATTACTGTTGTGTTTGCGATAAGGAAAGACATACACATGCATTCCAAGTCATCCCAAGCTTTTTTAGACAACGTAAGATTTAAAAAAAAAAAAAAAAAAAAAAAAAAAGATTCATAATTGAAAACTAATCTTCAAAATGACCAAAATAATAAACCAGGAAAAGCACAAATAAGAATAATGTCATGTAACTACATACAGTTGAAGACATGATGATTAGCCCTCTTGTGAAATTTAAAATGTTTTTCAGGCATTTTTTTGAAAACATTTTTAAACATAATAGTTTAAATAACTAATCATCTTCTCTTTGTCATGATGGTAGTACATATTAGTTTACTAGTTACTTGTTTTAAGCTTAAAGTTTCGATTTAAAAGATGAACTATGCTAATTAGGTTAGTTAGACAAGCGAGGGTAATTCAATCAATAAATGTTCTGTAGCCAATCAAAAAATTTATAATTTCTTAAGGGAGGGATATAATATTGATTATAGCAGTTTTTAAATTCTTTTTAAATATACAAATTATATTCATTCCAGCCTGACTAAAAGAAAAAAGACTTTCTCCAGAAGAAAAATATAATAGAAAATATTAAAAGTGTCCTTACTCTACTAAACATGAAATAATGAGAAACATGCGTTCATTCATTCATTTTCCTTCGCCTTAGTCCCTTTATTAATCAGGGGTCGCCACAGCAGAATGAACCGCCAACTTATCCAGCATATGTTTTACGCAGCGGATGCCCTTCCAGCTGCAACCCAACACTAAGAAACACCCATACACTTCCATTCACCAAGGCCAATTTATGCCTTTGGACGGATGGGGAAACGAGCACCTGTAGGAAACCCACGTGAACATGGGGAGAACATGCAAACTCCACACAGAAACGCCAACTAACCCAGCCGGGGCTCTAACCACTGACCTTTTTGCTGTGAGATGACAGTGTTAACCACTGAGCTACCATGTCGCCCACTTACGAAATATTTTAAAAATAGTTTAATTTCAACAGGAGGGCAAATTTTTCTTTCTTCAAATCTATGTTCGGAAAACATGGTTTTCAGGTATTTTAAGTAAATGTCTATTTTCTTCCACACTCGTTGTGTTTTTTTGCTTTTTTCTCCTCACAGCAGCTATTTTAACATGACAGGGTGAAAATAGATTACCAGTAAACTGACTGAGCAATCTTAAGTTAACTTGATTGATTTAAATACTCTTCGTCTGTAACTTTTTCCCTCTCAAAATAAATTGTCTCTAAAAAATTATGTTATGAGTCAGATGCAAAAATAACCATGTGTCTTTTGATTGTATTTTCTTTCAGAACTGCTTCTAACACCAAAAGCTGATTTGCGCTGTTAGTAAATCTGGCCCTGCACATCATATTTTCTCAGAATACTTTATGATATCTTCATCTGTAAATAATCGGATTGCTCAGTTGATCTTATACAGCTACAGAATCTCTCGAAGCTCATTCTTGTCCAGTGAATGAAGCGCTCTGTTCATGTTAATGACCGTCTTTGTGTTCTACAGTATTCCCTCAGCTCTACTTCCACATGATGCGCCAGAGGAAGAAAGTTCTGGGTCACGTGGAGGAGTACAGCAAAGTGGAATAACCAAGCGGACTGATTGCACAGAAAGCAGAAACAAGCGGACAACCTTTAAAAGCCACACTTCACAGATTCTGGAAAAAAAATTTAAGAAGAAAAGGCCTCCTTGGCGATTAGAACAGGCCAGTTATGCAGAACGATTGTTAACAATACTATTTTGGTCAAGAACTGTAGCAGTTGGTGATTCTTTTTAGGGTTCATGTAACTTACACAAATGGCTTTGCCTCAATTTAGAGGAAGGGGAATGTCTTTATCATATTAATACATCCGCTACCTTGTGACTTTTTTAAAAATTAATTCTAAATGTAGAATTACTGACCAAATATTGTAGCAAGTATCATTCAGAAAAAGGGCAAAACGCAATTAGCTGCATCTGCTGGCTTTTACCAGAAGAAACGTCCCATGATTCTCATGTGTAGTGCGTTCTTTACACTGTATTGAATCTAAATTGATTTCAATATCTCACTTAGTTCATTCCTTTATACTTTGAGTGTTTAATGACTCAAGCCGTACTTGACTTTCACACTACTAGCGTGTCTACTGATTCCCATTATGATTACTGTTAGTGTTTTCTTTTGTTTTGTGCTGTGCTTTCCTAAAGGATCAATGTTAATCGGTTGTTTTATTCAGTATTGGATATATATTGTTGGTTTGTGGCCGTTTGCGCAGAAAAAGAGGTGAATAACCCAAAGAAATCCTCCGAGTTGCTGGGTCGGATCTACAGTCAATGCTACTAATGTACTAGATGTGCATTTCTGTCGTAAAAAAAAAAAAAAAAAAAGAGGAAACTCCTGACACTTTTGGAGCTTGTGAGGAGAGCTACAGGAGCCAATTGGATTCGAGTGCCTCCAGTCATGCTTTTCCAATGAGTCAAATCTAATAATGTGGAGGAAAAACCTGAGAGTTGAGATTTTTAATGCTTCATTGCGCGTCTGCCTAATTGTGAACCGCCAACTTCAGCCCCCCTGCCCCCCTCTCAATGCAAATGAATCCCATATATAATGAAGTGCGAGCCACACTATTGCACAGATAGAGTCTTTTGGTAAGCCTGTTCATGACGAATTAGCATGGGATGCTGAATGAATGCTTGTGAAAAGCTGGAGTGCAACTTTAAATAACACTGCATGTCCAAGTGCTGTGGCTAGACCTTGGTTTGTTGAAGCATGACCCTTAACTCGATCTAAAACGCCAACATTGTCAAGCTTTTGATATTAAAGATCTGCATGGGACCAGCAAACTTTGTATGAATAGTAATACAATGATATATATTTACAATAAACCATGACATGGGAAGCAAAGCCAGTCTGTGTTGATGCATTTGTGCTTCAAATACACAGATATTTCACTTTAGGTGGGTGTGTTTGCTTATTATGTTTCCTCTAGTGGACATCAGGTTACCAAGTTCACTTTTCCTTCACATGATGGCAGTAGAGATCTGTTCATGACCCCTAACATATTATGTTCTGGCAGATACACTAATAAGGGCTAATGATTGATTTTGGGTGTTTATTTATTTCTAACCATATTTAAAAACTGTCACCGTGTCTAAATTGCTAAGCAAATTTAATTTATTCCACAAACTTATAAGCCTCTTATTTATTGTGCTATATTTGTAATTTAGAAAGGTTGTAAAGTAGAACACTATCTGATAAAATAGGCTTATTTTATAAAACAATTATATATTATAAACTTCATAATCCAACACATAAGCACAGTTTGAAATGAGTTTGTTCAAATTTTAAAATGTCAGATTTATAGGTTTAAAAATTATTGTGTCAGAAATTAAAAGGTTTTTTTTTTTTTTTTTTGCTTACAAGCTAATGCATTCTGCTTTAAAAAAAAAAAAACATGATCAGAATTGTTGGGAAAAACATCGTAATTGTTTGTGTCAAATTCAACTTATTTCTTTAAATGTACTGTCTTTCTAATTGGAACATATATACTCACTGTCCATAAGTCTCAGGCCACCACCAGCATTAGAAGTCGAAGATTTTTGCACGAAAAGGTATGGAACAAGTGCAGGGCCATTACTCTTGGGTGAACTATAATATACAAACAGAAAATATGGGAAATTCACATAATATTCAGAACAAAACTACATTTGGAATCAAAAGACTAGCATCAAAAGTTTGTTTAACGTGACCTGTTTACCACCAAGCAACAACTTTTTTTGTTTAGTCTTTTATGAAATGATGTGCTAATATCAAACATATTTTAGCATTTCTCAGAGTTCCTCTTAGATTTAGCATGTTCTATCTTTATTTTTCTCGCCAGGTGAATTTTATATTGCATTTAATATTGACTATACATACTTTATTTAATATTTAGGTCTGGACTCTGTGGAGGCCATTTCATGACTGTCTGGGTTTCATCAGCTGTTTTTCTCTCTAGATATGATTTCATTACATTAGCAGTGTGTTAGTGATCATTATGCTGAAAAATCAAACTATTATAAATTAGGTGCTTTCTAGAAGGAATTGCATGACGAATTATAACCTATTTGTACTTTTCAGCATTCACATTCCCATCGATTCTGGCAATATTGACAACAGCTCTGGCAGAAATGCAGATCAAACCAAGACAGAAACTTTATTTTTCTCAGAAACTATTTCTCATTCATTCTTTTATCTTTCTCCAACTCTCTTTCATGTCTTAAACAATTAGAGCCAAAGAATCCAACTTGAACCTGTATTTTCTGGTTGTATTTAATCAAGAGAATGAGAAGAAGCGTATTATACCATCACTAAAAGTACAAATGTAACTGGGGGCCTAAGACTTTTGCACAGTGTATGTGACTGATTCAATAAATGAAATCCAAAATAGTGGATGGAGCAAGTAAAAAAGACAATTTTACACAAAGCATTTATTTCTTTCTACCCGGGGACAGTGCTCTCCTGGTGAATCTCGTACTGCATATAATATTGCCAATATACAAACCTTATGTAATATTCAGGTCTGGACTGAATGTGAAGGCCATTTCATGACTGTCTTTGTTTCATCAGCTGTTTTACTCTCCAAATATGATTTCATTACATTAACAGTGTGTTAGGGATCATTATCATGCTGAAAAATAAAACTATTAAAAATTAGGTGCTTTCACGTAGGATTTGCATGACGAATTATAACCTGTCTGTACTTTTCAGCATTCTCAATCCCATCAAATGCCAGACTTACAGATCAAACCAAAACAGAAACACCAGTATTTTTTATACATTCTTTCATCTTCCTCTAACTCGTTCCTTCAGATCCAAAAAATCCAACTGGAACTTGTATTTTCTGGTTGTTTTTAATATAGAGAATTTTAAATAATTATACCCTCACTAAAACAACAAACGTTACCGGGGATCTAAGACATGCACAGTACTTTATACTCTAAAAAGAAATTAATATTTTTCTTAGTTTGTTGCAAAAGCCAGATGAACAATTTTATAAAATAAGATGTCTGTAAGCAATTTTTTAAAAATCAGTAATTATATAAATTCTAAATATTGTAGAAAGGATAATTCAGAAAAAGGGCAGAATACAATTACCTGCATCTATTTATCAGCAAATTTTGTCAGAACTTATTTCAAATTATTATTATTATTTTTATTTTACTCTTAAGAGCTAACGTATGTTTCTTTTTTAATTTACTTAATGCCGAATAGGCTAATACATTTGCCAAAAACCACAGCTCAGCCATATGAAAAATACTGTCATCCTCTTGTGTCAAATACATTCAAGTTTTTTCATAAAATAACCATTCCTTTAAATAAAAAACAAATATATACTTGTAAATAAGTAGACAAATATTTTATTGTCATTGGAACTATACATTTCTTTGCAGTTTTATTTGTTATTTAGAAAAGTTGGTTAAGCTGAAATAACACAGTGGTATAAAATAAGCTTTCTAGTATAAAACAGTTGTATAAAGCCTGCTGTCTTATCTATAATATCCTTACATTGAAATGACATTGTTAAATTATACAATTTAAAGACAGATTTGACTATTTTGGAATTGATCATTTGAACCTGAAAACAACAAGACCTGAAAGAACGAGATTCTGTTGAGCGTTAAAAAAGTGTGAAAAAAACAAAGCCTAAAAGCGAATTTCCTCAGGGTTTGTATCTCAGCATTTCATCTGTTTTAAGCAGGGAGTCATGAGACCTATGATGAAAAAAGCAGGGGAGGCATGACTCTGTTGACTGCAAACAGCGAGATCTTTTGTCCTTTCAGACTGTGACAGAAAAGTTTAATTCTCTTCACACAGCTATCGCCTTGATAAGATCCTGTGTTTGAAATATATAAATAAAGAAGTCTCAACGGGATGATAAACAACTGCAAAAGTCTCAGCTGAAAAGACTCAGTCTTGTCAATACACACATATAAACTACATTTCTCAGTCATCATATATCATCATAAAGCATGATGTTTTCTGTAAAACGTTTTGGAGCCATTACTATAGGATTCAATCTACAGGATTTTTTTTGGGAGCAAAATGGGTTCCTATTCAGGTCCGGAATTCATTGTGACACTTTTCAAAATCCTAAACATGATTTTATAAATATGTTTACTTTATCTTGTGAAAATTTTTCATCACAACTGTGCTGAATTAACCTTTAACAATACAAATATTGATGTTTGCAGCATGATTTCTTTAATTATTATGATTTCTTTTTATACTAGAATTAGATTAAGCATTAGAATAAGATTATAAATCAATTATGATTAATTATGATAAAATAATTAAATTTTTTAAAAACATCACAATGTCCTAAATAAGATTCTAAAAATCAAGTGAGATCCCACTGGATAGGGAGATAATTAAAAAAATAATCACAACCCTCATGAAAAAATACTAAAGTAATAATATATAGTAAATAGTACATTGTTTTTGAACCATATTGAATTGATGTGCTGTGATAATTCTATAAACAAGCAACAGATATTTTCTACAATTAGGGTATATTATACTCAAAGAATATTATGAATATATCAAAGGAACTTTATTATACTACAAAACACCACAGTTAGCAGTAGTTAAATAGTTTGTTAACACTACAATATGCTGTAAAATTCAATAACAAAATGTTGTAAATATACCATAATATTAATTAATTTTCTTTCGGCTTATTCCCTTTATTCATCAGGGGTCGCCGCAGCAAAATGAACCCACAAATACCATAATATACAGTTTTATACACTTTACTCTAGTATGGTTCAAAATCACTACAGTATTTCCAGTAAAAGACTACAACTTCTTCATGTGAGAATGTCCACAAGGATTCTAAGAAACCAATATAATATAACAAACTTCCAGCAGGATTTTAGTTCAATTTTTTTTAATTACCCAGTTCAACGTAATTCCAGACAAGAAACAATTACTATAACATCTAGGGTATTTTAATATTTTGATCTTGTACGTTGCCAAATCCTTGACGACATTATAGGCCTACTATTATTCCTGAAATGCGTTTGACAAAATAAATGTTATTTATTACATTAATTTACTTCCTGTTTAAAATATTTTTTGTTTCATTCTGAGTGTAGAAAAACAAACAAACAAACAAACAAACAAACATTCTTCATGTGAGAATGTCCACAAGGATTTTAAGAAACAAATGTCTGATATTGAACTTCCAGCAGGGTTATAGTGCAATTTGTAGTTATTATTACCAAGTTCAAAGTACTGTAATTCCAGACAAGAAACAATTCCCATCACATGCAGGATATTTTAACATTTTGACTTTATACTCTGCCAAATTGTCAACAATGACATTATATGTCTACTATTATTCCTTAAATGTGTTTGACAAAATAAATGTTATTTATTACATGTATTTACTTACTGTTATATTTAACTTTTGTTTTATTATGAGAATAGAAAAACAAACAAACACACAAACAAATAAACATTTTTTTTATGTGAGAATGTTCACAAGAATTCTAAGACACCAATATAAGATGACAAACTTCAGCAGGATTTTAGTACAAAAATTTAGGTTTAATTACCCAGTTCGAAGTAATTCCAGACAAGAAACAATACTATAACATGCAGGATATTTGAATATTTTGATTTTATACGTTGCCAAAATTGACAAAATAAATGTTATTATATTTATTTACTTACTGTTATATTAAATTTTAATTTTATTCTGACATTTTTTTTAATGTTTGTTTGAAGTTTATTCCTCGCCACTCGCCACTGGCTTGCATGGTACAGGATTTGTGTGCACATTGATAGTTTTGCTCTTCGGTATTTGGACTTTCAGCAGTGAAAATTAAACCAGACTCAACTGAACTAAACTGAACTTCAACTCTGAAAACTGAACTTACACAGTTTCAATTTACTATAACCTTCTATGTTAAGCTGCTTTGACACAATCTACATTGTAAAAGTGCTATAGAAATACAGATGAATTAAAGTGCAGTTTTAGTTATTATTACCCAGTTCAAAGTAATTCCAGACAATAAACAATTAACACATGCAGGAAATTTTTATATTTTAAATTTATACTCTGGCAAATTGTTGACGAAGACATTATATGTCTACGGTTATTTCTAAAATGTGTTTGACAAAATTATTGTTATTTAGTACATTTATTTACTTACTGTTATATTAAATTGTTATTTTATTCTGAGAGTAGAAAAACAAATAAACATTTTATGTAAGAATGTCCGCAAGGAATCTAAGAAACCAATATAAGATAACAAACTTCCAGCAGGATTTTAGTACATTTCTTTAGCTTTAATCACCTAGTTCAAAGTAATTCCAGACAAGAAAAAATTACTATAACATGCAGGATATTTTAATATTTTGATTTTAAACATAGGCAAATTGTCAACAACGACATTATATTCCTACGATTTTTCCTGAAATGTGTTGGACAAAATACATATTATTTGTAACAGTTATTTACTTACTGTTATATTAAATTGCTCTAATAATAGAAAAGCAAACAAACAAACAAACATTTTTTTCCTCACGCTTCCCTACATACAGCTGTGTGGGTAGACCCGCCCACTTATCCAAATCACCACGTACTGACGTTCACATTGACCAATAGAACACTTGATTGGCAACTTGAGCAGCCAATAGGACCGTGCATAAGGCGGGGTCTAAAGATCATACTTGGTTGAATGGCAATACAAAGAGAAGAAGCACCAAAACGGATGATAACGCTTAATCAATTCTATGGGTTTGGGTGTTGAGAATCCGCAGGGGAAGGACGTGCAGCCTGTCCGGCACTTCCAGCACGCGGCTCTGACCAAGCAGGTCGGATTTGACGCTCTCGTGGCGTGACAATTCATCCCTCATCCAGACGCCAGCGCTGATGGTGATGATGATGTTGCTGCTACTGCATCAGGAGCACTGGAGATCCCTATCTGCACAGCACGAATGAAGACTCCGTCACCAAAGGACACTTTGTGAGGTCATCTCGGGTTGACGCAACTTGCCATGCAGGAGCGTCGGAAAGCTGAGGTCTTCGCAGCAATCGTGATCATGTAATCACCATCTAGTGGGCTGCGACCACATATTCACAGGTGTACATCTTGCGTGGATCAATGCATCAATGCGCGCGCACCATGGAGTCGTGCTCCGCGCTCTCAGCTCTGGCCAAACCACACTTTCGCGGACACTATTTGCTCCTGTCAAGAAAACGCGGAGGTCTGGCGTGATGGGTGAGGGGTCAGTTCACGATGATTCGGTCGAAATAAGGCTATATTAAGCAGTGTACGAATTCTACAGTGACTTCGAGAGTGGGTGGAGTATTTTAAAGCGATTTAGGGGGGTTTGTTTTGAATTAATTTTGATAAATCGTTACATTTTTCAGTCTTTTGAAGTTGGTCTCGCGGGAACGCCAATTGTTGTCAGGGCTTAAGTTTTAAAACACTTGAGTTTTTGTGACACATTTGATAGAAATAGTAAAGTGACGATGTTTTGTGGACATAACGCTCGAGGGTCGCGTGTTGTTATGGTTTCCTCATCTGGCGAACGCGACTGTTTGGCGACAGGTAACGATATGCGCTGAATTATCGAACTGTATTAGCTAGTGCTGAAACCTTTGAAACGTATACAGTCGTCCTTAATTAAAATACTGTATTTCATAACCGTTTTAATTTCCTCTGGGTTATTCAGCCTTAATTAGAGGCGCCAATGCCCCTCTAGCCCCCCTCGAAATGTATCCAGAGGTTTGTATTTTTATGAACTGAAAAGTGGCGCACAATTACTCCCTCTGCCGTCCTCTGATACTTTACCCACCCGAGGATGCATCCCAAATGACTACTTTGTATATTTAATTACTTCTACAAAGCCATCCTTGTGTGCATAATGATGTAGATATGAGCGGTTTGATTTGCAAAACGTGTTTCTGTATCTCAGAGGGCTTGGCTGCCATAATCTTTCCCACTTTACATCGCTCCTAATTAGGAAATAAAGGAGAATGCAAACTCATCGGGTCACTTTTGTTATCCCAGTCCTTACCTTACAGATAACTTTAGTTTACTTTTAATCGTTTAAATCACCAGCTGACTTCAATTGGCAACTGGCTTTACTATAACTTGCTCCACAAATGAGGCTAATATCAGTTGAAAGTTTATTCATGAGGGGACATGACTTGACTTATCTATTTATACAGCGCGCAAGTAATTTATTGTGTTCAATGGAGCCTGTATTTGAACATTATCAGATATGTTTGTGTAGTAATGACAAGAAGTTCAACAAACTGTTATTAAAGCAAGCAAAGAGGATTTAGTGCACTAACTTTTGCGGCTACTTTATTTGAATACTGAACTCCTACCCCTTTCGATCCTCTTTCTTGCGTGTTAAAATCTTCATTAGGAAGTGAAACCCTGCGTAATTCGCACCCTGCGTTCATTTGCTGTATGTGATAATCGAGATCATGTCCAGATCTAACAGCGTGAGCCCACCCGGCGCTGGCGCTCCTGGACTGAGGGGAGGGACGGAGCACAGATCCGCTTGGGGCGAGTCTGAGTCCGTGGCGAACGGATGTCCATACTCGGCCAGATCCTCCTGCAAAAAGCTCATACGGTCCAACAGTCGCTGGAGAGAGGACGATGACTTCGAGCGACAACCGGGCCGAGCCACGACCACCGTCAGCCGGGTTAGCTTCAGATCCAAGTCCGCCTGGCAGGAACAAGGCGAGGAGAGCCGCAACAACAACCGATCGTCCCCGAGGTACCGAGATGGAGAAGTGAGACCCAAATCCGTGGAGCTGGGTCTGGAGGACAGGAGAACCAAGTCCAAACCAGAGGAGGAGCTCATGCCTGAAGTGAACTTTTCCATGAGCGCGTGCTGCAACAGCGTGATGCAGATTTTCAGGTCCAAGAAGTTCCAGTCGGAGAAGTTGGAGAGACTCTACCAGCGCTACTTCTTCCGCCTGAACCAGAGCAGCCTGACGATGCTGATGGCCGTGCTGGTGCTGGTGTGCGCGGTGATGCTGGGCTTCCACTGCGCCGGAGGGATGTGCCAGCTCACCTTCGTGCTGGTTTTCACCGCGGCGATCGTGCTCATCCTCACGCTGATGGTGGTGTGCAACAGGAACAGCTTCCATCAGGATCACATGTGGATAGTTTGTTATTTGCTGATTTTGCTGGTGCTGGCCGTGCAGGTAGTCGGCGTGCTGTTCGTCAAGCCGCGGAGCGCGTCTGAAGGCATCTGGTGGACCGTGTTTTTCATCCACGTCATTTACACGCTTCTGCCGGTGCGGATGAGAGCGGCGGTGATCACTGGGATTATATTGTCTGCCATTCATGTGCTCATCTCGTGGAGGTTAAACGACATGGACGTCTTCTTGTGGAAGCAGGTGAGTGAAGCGCTGTCATTGCTTTATTGCTTGGGTTAACCTCTTTTTTTAGAAGCCATGCGGTTCTGACTGTTTACACATACGAGAGTTGTGTAAAGAAATTAATAACGAGGAAAGTCAGACGGGCATACTTTCCTGCTAGAATTACTAAAAACATCAAGTTTTGCTAGAATCAACAGGGTCTGGACCAAACAATGTAAGTGGAGAGGAGCAACTTTCATTCACCTTCACCTGTGTGTTCTGTGATTCCTTTGATCCAGCTCCACTCCGTGTTTTCCATTTGTAATAGAGTGTAGTAGATTTATTTTAATGGCTGTTTTATATCAAAATTAACATTACAACATTACTAGGGTCATCCAAGATGTGACCTTTTTTAGCAGTACAACAAAAAAGTGTTTTTGGTCATGAAATGTATGGGTAGCGCTTTGATTCTGTATGTTGTTTTTATTCACTCTCAATTCCAGAGTTATGGATGTGAGATTTGGAGTTAACTCAAAACATGAACCCACATAGAAAATATATGTTAACATTTATATTGAAACATCTGTTTATGTCTTCCAAAACAACTCATCACAGAGTTATGGGATCAAAGAAATATCAATCTGTAAACATATTTTGTATTTTAAATGAGGAAAATAAACATGCATTTGATTATGGATGTGACCAAAGAAGTCTGCTAGTGTACAGTAGACCACCTACTTTATGGGAATTCTGTAAATTAAGCTGCACAACCCAACAAATACTGCTAATCAAAAGGATGAGTTTGTTCTAATGAACAAAACAAATTTTTATTTTATTGAAGATTTTTGAATTACAGGAAAAATGCTTGGTTATGGATCTGACGTCTATCCATTATGGATGTGATGGATGTGAAATTGCCACTTGTGGCAATATAGTATTGAAATATACTATATTTACTACTATATATATATATATATATATATATATATATATATATATATATATATATATATATATATATATATACTATATACTCGCCCCAATACTCTATAGTTGTTTGAATACACTGACAGAGACATTGAGTATTTTAGGGTTGTTGTCGCGATACCTTTAATTAATGTTACGATACTATACCAGCTGAAGTATCATGATACCAAGTAGTACTGCGATTACAGTTATTTCTAACTCAGATCTATGAAATAAAGAAAATAGTCAGAAATACTATATTTTGTTATAGGCCTTGAATTGAATTCATAATTCCCCTTATTATTGAAAAGGTATTTGCACATTACTTCATCTAAAATGCATTTAGTTCTTTTTGTTTATTTTGTAGATAACTGAACAACAAAAATAAAATAAAATAAAGATGCAAATTATACCAAACAAAATTCATTACAAAAAGAGCATTTTTTTCCAACAAAATTTGGCTACAGTGGTTCCGCAAGTATTTTGGACTGTATATTTTGGCAAGTATATTTTTGGATTTTTACAGGGTTGTAAAATCCAAACCTACACAAAAATAATAGAAAGGGTTTCACTATTTTGGTGAAAACTTAATTTTTTTTCATGACATTTGCATGGAATTGCTCATAGAAAACGCAAAATTTATATGTTTGGCTCCTTAAAAACATTGGAGTTTGAGTAAAACAAAGTTGAGAAAGGAAACATTATAATTACAACATCAATAATCCACAGTCTTAGCAATGCCTGGCTGTGATGCATAATTACAAACATTTGAGCTGATTCTAATAGTTTACATCAGAGAAGGAGGGCAAAAATGTGCTTGTTTATTAGTCTGTGCTTATTCTGCATTTACCAATCTATAAATAAAGTTGTAAGCAAATGTTGTCTGAATGAGTTTGCGCATATATATCATTAAGTTCATGTTTAAGACTGGTAAAAGAAGTCAGGACTTTTTGCTGAGGCTGAAAATTAAAGGTATTAATGTTGTAAATAATTCTCAGTTTCTTCCACAGGCCAATCATTTTGCTTCAAGATGACAATGTATTGTCAGAAGTTGCATATACTAAAGTCATCCTATCATGCTTTTTCACTTTTTGAATGTTAGTAGGTCTACTATCTCAAAGTCTGCTCTTTGAGATATTTTGTATTTAAAAATCCCTTTTTAAGAGCGATTGGCTTGTTTTGATGACAAGCATTTATTCTGGGGTTTATGATGTCACAAAGCACCTCAAATCCCAATGTTTGAATGGAACAATAATAATGGAGAGATTAGGGCTGTAGGGGCGCGTGTCCACTGAAGAGCTTAAATGCCAGCATTCTTCCAAAAACACTTAGCTGTGAGTGCTTCAACTGTCGGAGCTTTTAAGTGTAGAATGCATGATTGCCGCATTGCTATGCTGCCACCATTAAAAACTCCCAACACTTCCATAGACCACAACTGGAGAAAAAAGTGCTTAGCTCAGGCAAAGTGCTTATTGAAAAGCGGCCTTTATCAAACCTGGAACTAATCGAGCTGTTTGTTTTAGGCTGGAGAGAAAGATAATGTAATAATGCAAATTATGTGGCATAAACACTTTTTTTTATACCACCAAGCAAGAGCATTTTCTAGAACACACCCCAAACATATCAATACTTTGTAAAAGAGCATAACATGATCCTTTTAAAGGGTTAGTTTACCAAAAAAAATTTAAATTAACCCATGATTTACTCACCCTCAAGGTTCTTGATGTGTGTGACATTCTTCTTTGAGTAGAATCCACTGAGTTATATTAAAAGTCTCCTTGCTCTTAGCTCTACAATAGCAACGCAAGCATTTATCTTCAACAGTCCAATAAAATGCATCCACCCATAATATAAAGTGAAAAATGGTCTCTTTTAGCAAAAATCTAATTTTTAAAAAAACATTTTTTGTCAGAAAAATGTCTACATTTAAAACATTTACTTCTGCTAAACGACAGCTTGTAGAAGTTACACAACATTGTTTATGAAGTTTATTTATAGATATATATTTTTTTAACTTTCAAATTATCTTGTACTTATCTTGAACAGCCAAAGACTAGTTTAAACTCCAATTGATTTAATTCTGCTCAAGAAAAATATCTGTTGGATGACCTTAGGATGAGTTAATTAATACAAAAATATGTTGGGGAATACAACATTAAATGTGTGTTTTTTGCTTTGATTTATTTTGTTTTACACAACGTTAGTAGAGTCAAAGATGACTTAAGTAGTGTTAACAAAAATACTGTTAAAATAAAAGTCCATTATTAAGTTACTGTGATTATAGGCTAATTTAAGTAGGGCAATGACAAAGATGCAAAAAATATGTCACTGATCTCGTTTTTGTCAATGAAGGACACTTTGAATTGATCTCGCTGTTCAACAACTGCTGTAGTAACTTTTTGGTATTCTGAGAATTTCAGTTCTGTAGGTCTTTAGAAGTATTGCCAATCCATTGTTATTTCAAGTTCAACTCTTCCAGCTAAAGCTGAAAAGTATGTTTGTATATCAACGATGAAATCCTAGTCTGAAATAATGTTTATCAGTCAGATCTATAGGTTGTTTTTTCAGGAGGTCTTGCAGTTCTGAAAGTGACAAAAGTTGATGGTGATTCTTTGTAAAGCCTGCAGATTTAAAGGCGCACATTTTTCATGTTTGGTTTTATTAAATTCTGACTGTGTATGGATTTATCTTTTTCTATTTTTGGTGAGTGTTGTCAGCTTCTGTTATTGTAAAGAGAATATGCTTGAATGACGTTCGTGATGTTATTGTAGTGAACTTTTGGTTTTAATGTTTGAATTCTTTTTGTTATTTAATAAACAAAATGCACTTAAATACAATACAGACTTTTAAAGAAGGATTTATACAAATCCAAATAAAATGCGGTCTTGATTATATATTATTGTAATGTTATTAATTACAAAAATTCAATCAATAAGATTGCCATTTTATGAATAAATGACATATTAAAGCCTCTCAATATGCAATTTATTGTTTTCTAAATTGTAATTTGTCTTCTAATGACTCAATAAAAATATATAAGCTGTATATATCAGGCTTGTAAATTTACTAGCCCTTTTAAACCTGCAAACTTACTATTTATTTTTCATAATATTGTATACTTAAGTGCTTTGCTTTACCAGCTACTATAACCTTATATAGTGAATGTGTTTTAAGCTCTTTTTGTCTTGATATACACTGTAATTATGTTCTCAATGCAAACACACTCGTGTGTGTGTGTGTGTGTGTGTGTGTGTGTGTGTGTGTGTGTGTGTGTGTGTGTGTGTGTGTGTGTGTGTGTGTGTGTGTGTGTGTGTGTGTGTGTGTGTGTGTGGGAACTGGCTGCTGTGTTTGTTGCTCTTTCCACACAATGCTGTTGTCTTTAGCATAGCAGATCTCTATGTTTACACGGGCCTAGCAGGACTCTCCAATAGTTTGCTGTTGTTTTATAAAGATTCTGATAGGAAGGGTACATCAGGAGTATTCTCTTAGATAACCACATTTCATCAGGCTGTGATGGTAAGCGCTGGTTTTTAAGTGGTCTGAGATTTTGGGACAGGCAGAAAGTGATGGCTTAAACGGGTCGCTTTTAGTGCATTCCAGATTTGTTCAATACAAGTTGATCATAATGCCTGTTTAATATCCATAAAACACCTATTTAATTCACTCCTGAGGGTTCTATCATTAAAAGGTTAGCTCATCCCAAAATAAAAAAAGGTTTATTTCTGGTCCTCACATATATCCAAAACCATAAGAAGAGTATCCATTGTTGGAACACAAATACAAATATTGTTTAAGAAATCTGAGAAATTTCTTTGCCTCTACTGAAAGCCTGTTCACTCAATTTTACAATGTTCATAAAGAGATCATAATAAATGGGTATGAATTGAGCTATTCATACTTGGTCTTTTGAAGAGACACGATCTCTATGATAGCTGATTGTTTTTAGGCAGTATTTACAGCATTGAGTTGGTCATAGAAGCTCAAGGCACTTTCTTGGTGCTTGATAGCTAAAGAGATTCATTCTTGTTTGTCACACCAGTAAGCTTTTATTAACCTCCCTCTCTCCTCCTGTT